TATTAAGAGTGCAATCACTAAGTTGACTATTGACCCTTGCCATCTGGAAAAATGTAAGTTCCCAACACAACCACAACCAAATCCACAGGGTCAATTTTTGTGAATAAAATTGGCACTTCTGATACTATGCATGAGCAGGTAAAGTCTATTACCACACTCCGTAGTGGGAAAGAAATTAATAAAACTATTCCTTCTAAAATTCAAGAATCTGAAAAGATTTCAAAACCTACGCAGAGTGGTGATAAAATTAATCACTCTGAAATCAATAAGCCTAAGAAGTATGTTATACCTGCACCATTTCCATAGAGATTGTTTACTTCTACCAAGCCTTATATGCATAATGATATGTTAGATATTTTTAAGCAAGTAAAAATCAACATTCCCTTGTTGGATGCCATTAAACAAATACCTCCTTATGCAAAAGTTTTGAAAGAATTATGCACAGTTAAAAGAAAATTAAATGTGCAAAAGAATGCATTTTTGACTGAGTAGGTATCTTCCATCAAACAACACAAGACTCCACCAAAATATAAAGACCCAGGTTGTCCCACCATTTCTTGTGTTATAGGCAACCACGTAATTGAACAACCTTTATTGGATTTAGGAGCTAGTGTGAACTTGCTCCCTTATTCAGTTTATGAGCAACTAGGGTTAGGGGAGTTAAAACCTACCTCAGTTACACTTCAATTAGCTGACCGATCAGTAAAAATATCGAGGGGTATGGTGGAAGATGTCTTAGTACAGGTTGATAAGTTTTACTTTTCTGTAGATTTTATAATTTTGGACACTCAACCTGTATTAAATATTAATGCTCAAATTCCTGTTATTTTAGGTAGACCATTCCTAGCAACTTCAAATGCTTTAATTAATTGCAGGAATGGTGTGATGAAATTAACTTTTGGGAATATGACATTAGAGCTCAATATTTGTAATGTGTGAAAACAACCAAGGAATGTTAATGAAGATGTGCATGAGGTTAACATGATTGAGTCTTTTGTTCCAAGAAGAGTATATGATTCTTCTCTATTTGATCCACTTGAGGCATGCTTGCTGGAACATTCTTCTTTGTTAGAGATAGATGAGAATAATTCTGAAATTTTTGTTTTGACTGAGTTGTTGAATTCCTCACAGGTACTTGAAATGAGAGAGTTGAGATAGAAATTTGAGGAGCTTCCACCAAGAACCAATCCACCAATCCCATCTAGTGATAAAGCTCCAAACTTGATTTGAAGCAATTATCGGTAGAGTTAAAGTATGCATTCTTAGGAGATGATGAAACGTATCCGGTAATAATTTCTTCTCAATTAAATTCAGCACACAAAAGTATGTTACTACAACTCCTTAGAGAGCATAAAATGCAATTGGTTGGACCTTAGCTGATATAAAAGGAATTAGTCTATTGGTTTGCACTCATAAGATTTATTTGGAGGATAATGCTAAAACATCTAGGGAGATGCAACGAAGACTAAATCCACATATGAAAGAAGTTGTAAAGAAGGAGGTACTGAAATTGTTAGATGTAGGGATTATTTACCCTATTGCAGACAGCAAGTAGGTGAGCCCTACACAAGTAGTTCCAAAGAAATCTGGAGTCACTGTAGTTTCCAATGAAAATAATGAACTTGTACCAACTAGGACAGTAACTAGTTGGAGAATGTGCATTGACTACAGGAAGCTAAGTTCTGTCACTAGAAAAGATCATTTCCCTTTACCTTTCATGGATCAAATTTTAGAAAGGGTAGGCTTCACATCTGTATTATTGTTTTTTAGATGGTTATTTGGGATATAACCAAATTGAAATTTCCCTAGAAGATCAAGAGAAGACCACTTTTACCTGTCCATTTGGCACTTTTACTTATCGAAGGATGCCCTTTGGACTCTGCAATGCACCTACGACCTTTCAAAGGTGCATGCTTAGTATTTTTAGTGATATAGTTGAACATTTTCTTGAAGTCTTTATGGATGATTTTACTATTTTTTGGTGATTCCTATGATGACTATTTAGCCAATCTTGAGAAAGTGCTTATGCGATGTGAAGAAAAGAATCTTGTGCTTAACTGGGAAAAATATCACTTCATGGTTCAAAGGGAATTGTTCTTAGTCACATTGTCTCTTTTGAGGGAATTCAGGTAGATAAAGCATGTCCAGGTTGATATAATTAGTAGCAAGTTACCTCCAGATGTTATGCCTCAGCTAATTATAGGTGAGAAAGAAAAACTACCACTTCTCAAGTTACTAGTATCCATAAATGTAATTAACAGTGATGAGCAATATTAAGGTTTGGTCGTTTTCGTTTTGATAACTTCAGTCTTTTATTTTCAAACTGAAAAGTATAATGAGAAAATAGAATTTAGCAATCATACTCCAGTTTTTTTATCCTTCAATGATTTAGATCAATTTCAAGGATGGTTGATTAAGTTTAAATTTTTTAACAGTATTTCCAAATCAAGTTTTTATGGCTCTCCTATTTATTTTTATATATAATATTTAGAGTTATGTCCACTAGGGATCAGTAAATGGTGTTATCATGCTCTTGATGGATGAGCTGCTGGTTTGAGGTCTAGATGGGACATGGGTGCTTATTACATCAGTAAGAGAACGGGAAGAAGAGGAGGGGCTAAATTTTTGTCTTTCAAGGAATTTGATGCATCTCAATTTGAGAGTGAAAAATTTTTGCATGTCATTCGCTGTGAATATTCAATGGTAAAATTATGTGCTTGCTCTCATTGATATGTTCAATTTGTGCATTTAGTCTATCCTTTTGTTTTATTTGTTCTTCACCAACGAAGCTCAAATCCTTTAACCTTATGGTTTTGCAATCAACAAGTACTAAAGTACTAGTTATCTGATTTTAGAGTTTTTTTGGTTCTATGGATAATAATTCATGTTTATATATACAGCTTTTGTAGATGTCTCTCCTGAAGAAACTTTTCAGAAGAGCCACTTTGAAAGTTTTAAAGAATCGACTGCGACAGCTATGTCGAAGGATTCTCAGTTTGCTGATCAGGTAAAGTTATGATGTTGAGCTATTTCGCAAGGCTGTCCCGTGTCTTTATAGTTTTTACACATTTAATCCTTCAACCTTGTTGAAGGTTTCACAAAATGGAGCTGCTTCCACGCCGGGTATAGGTACTTCTGAAGGTTCCTCATCTAATAGTAAGTAGAAGAAAGACTTTTAGATTACTGGTGTATCATTATCTTCTTGAAGGTGTGATTTTATGTGAAATCTTTCTGCAAACATTTTCACAGCGCCTATATGTTGAAAAATAATTGTGGTAGGCTATGCAGTGCTGTTGTATGTATGTTATGTGATTTAAATTTCATGTACATGTAATATGTCATCCTAGAAATACTGCCAAATTCTATATTTATTGATTTCTCTGACCTGCAAATATTGACTTCAAGTTG